TTTTTTTTTTTTCCCTTTCCCTCCCTCCCCTGCGTGTTGCTGTGCATCACAGCCTGGCTGTGTAGCACCTTCCCCTGGGCCAGCCGGGTGGCGTTTGGAGGGGAGCGACGTTGGGTTGCCCGTGTCTGCACGTGCCCCCTCCGCCCGGCTGCTGCAAAATAGGGGAGGCGTCTCTCATGGGGAGCGAGCCCAGCTGTGAGAAAGCTTCTCCAATCCTGCCTGCTCCTTAGGAAGGAGCAGGGCAAGGCGAGGACGTGGGTGATCTCCACTGAGAGGAGATACAGAGGAGCACGTAGGACAGTTTGTTCCAGGCCCGTTTAGAGAAGGACCTGCCACGTCCGGATCTGTGGGAAAAGTCATGCTTCCAGTTTTGGCTTGGGACTTCTGCATGCCCCTCGCGTGGGGAAACGATTTGCAGGGATGAGGGTGGGACGATAAAACTAGTTACAGGATGGACAGTATCTGCGGAGAGTGAACATCCTTTTGACATATCCTGTTATCTTTCCCTGCGGTTTTGCGCGTTGCTTTGACTCTTTCCCGTTGGAGCGGTGGAGCCTCGAGGTGACCCTGGGAAGCAGGCGAGCCCTTGAGGAAGAGAGGTTTCCTCCCAGGCACCGTGAGCTGCTCTCCCAATCTGAATTGCGTCTCCGCTCAGGGCCTGACCCCCTCCCACCTCTGACAGGCGGCAGGAAGATGCTCCAAGCAAGTTCCTCGGTCGTTGTACCAGCCTATGTCGTCCGCTGGTGTAGACGGGAGGTGGAGCGGAGAACTCGGCCCGTAGGCTGACGGGATTCGTGCTAAATCCTTCCTAGGCAGAATCCTGGCTTTAAGTGAAACTTTGCTTTCTTCCCTGTGTTGCAACTCGGTGACAGACTTTTCCAGCGAAAAACGGGTCTGCCTGTCTTTAGCTCGGGCTGCGTGTGGACTTGCATGTGTAATGTTGTCCGCAGCTGCGGTCTGAGGCAACTGAACCTTCCTAGTTGTTGCTTTGTGTATACACTGCATGCCAGCAGGGACCGTAAATCCTTCCTTGTTGTTGCTGTTGCTGCCTGGGGTCTGCCATTTGTCTACCAGTTAAATATGTCATATTTTCATTGAATACCAACTTCATAATGCTAAGAGGAAAAATACAGTACGGTCGTAATGAATCACGGGCTCTGGTAGCCTTGCTCGGTCCCAGGAGACTCTGTGTGGAGCTGGCCGGAGGATAAAATGCTGCAGCCTAACTCTTCTTTTTCTTCACTTTTGCCTGGAAAGTGCACCCACGGGAATTCAGAATAACAAGACTCGTCTTGCCTGTGCAAGAATCCAGGATCCTGAACGGGAGGAGGAACATGAGCGGGAGTGCAAGCAGACCCGTTGCCACTGCTGCCTGCCCTGCCCAAGGTGTCTCCCTGGCGAGGGGTCTGGTTGCTGCTGCTGGGCAAGAAAGTCTGAGGAGGGTCTGGCCAGGCACTGGTTTTGCAGAAGGTGACTTGGCTATTGCAGGGCATCCCAAGCTGAAGGTGAGTCAGTAAAACCACCACCATCCTTTGGAAAGAGCAGATGAAATGGCCAATATGAGCAGAAATGTCTCGCGTACAACATGACGCAACCCTTTCCTTCTGTTTGGGGTAGGTTAGGCCTCAGGAGAGAGATCTGTGTCCAGTTTTAGGCATAGCGTGTCAAGAAGGATGAAGCGTGGCTGGTGAGGAACAGAGGTGGGCAGCAAGGATGGTCATGGAAACGTGACCTCGGGGTTCAGAGTGAAAGAACTGGCGTTACTTAATCTGGAGGAAGGAAGGCTCTGGGACGCTTGCTAAGCCTTCACATGCATAAAAGACCTGCTGCAGAGGAAGACAATAAACTGGTATCCATATCGACTGGGGAGAGGAGAAGAATTACAGCAACAGAAGTGTTGGCTAGACTTTGGGAGAAACTTTCTAACTGTAAGATAATTAAGCCCTGGGGAAAAAAATATAGGTTGGGAAATGTCCATCAATGGACGTTCTTAAGTGCAGGTTAGAGAAACCTCTGTTGCCAGTGCTGGTTTGGGGCAGCAAGTATAAACAACATGGACTTTTTGGGCAGAAAGCCCTGCCCGCAGGTAGGAGTCAGGAGCGCGGACGAGCCAGGGCAGCCTCGCACACCCCCTGGCAGTTTGGATGCTCGCCCCGACTCCCGCTGTGGCCTTGTCTGCTGGCTGCCCGGGGGCAAGGGAAGGCAGAGGGGTGAGGCTGGCCCGGGGAGGCTCCCTGGCTCCAGGAAAGGCTGCTCTTGTTTCTCTGCAGTTTTGTAGCAGCTGCCAAAGGTAGGGCAAGGCCTCCCTCCGCATTGGGTGGTCCTTTTCAAGCAGGGCCCTACTTTGAAAGCTTGATGAAGCGAGGGGGAAGGAAGAACAGGGGGACGGCGCTCCCAGGCAGACCCGCACGGAGCTATGCTCCTGCCTGCAAGCAGGGCAGCGCAGGGGAGCTGTAGCTGAGGACCGGTGAGGGGGGACTTCTGAGTGCGAGCACTTCCTTGGAAGCGGAGGTGGAGGGAGCCACTGTGTTACTGAGTAGAGGCACCCGAGGGGGAAGGCACGAGGCTTTCGTCCAGATCCTTGTAGCGGTGGCAGGTATCTTCCTCCTCCTCCTCAGAGTCTAAATGCAAAAGGACTGGGAAGACGCGCAGTGAAGGATCTCACCCCAGGATAAGACTTTTCCTAGCGCACGTCTGCATAAACCTACCACAATTAGTGGTAAACGCAGACTGGCCAGCTGCCTGGCTCACTTCTGCCCCAATTCAAAAGAGCAACACAAACTTATAGCGGCTTCAGATTTGGCTTATGCGTAAGGTTTAACCTGCTCTTAAAAGCCTGGAAGCGCCCTAAACCGTTTTATCTCTATGCAGAGAAGTGTCTGCCTCCCCCGAAACCTGCGCTCGGGTGCTGGAGCTCCATGAGCAGCGCTCTCAGCCGGGGCGCCAGCAGCGCGCACCGTGCAGACGGACCGCGGGAAGGCTGCCAGCCCTCGAGTCCTGCGCGCCATCACTGCTTGCCTTGGCAACAGTCCCTGCTTCCCCTTTCTTCCAGGCAGGACATCGAGCGGCTTGCAAAGAGCACGAGCACCCTACCCTGCCTCTGCCCTTCTGCTCCCTGCTCTCTCTGCAGCCTGGGAGCGGCACAA